TGAATGCCCTGTTCTCTGGGGCTCCATCGCAACATGCAAGCATTATGGTGAATTGGAAACCATGTAACATACTCACTCCCTGCCAAAAAATTCTGTTTAGTTTTTGGGAACTAACCCCTCTTGTTAGAAAAAATGCACATGGAAATTCAAACTTTCCGAACAGGCTCTTGAAGTAAAACTGAAGAACATGTGTTGCCAGTTTATTTTGAGGGTTACAATCAGTTTCCTTTAGTTGACCAACTAAAGGTAGGTCAGTTTCATCATCATCCAAATCAACAAATCCTACCAGTTCAAATGTTGATGGATCAAAGACAAGACCCTCTTTAATTTTCACTTCATCAAACAAGAGGCCTCCAAGCTGGCCTCTCTTTCCAATTTTTGTTTTGTCAAATTTCTCCTTCATTTCCCACAATGTTGAAGTCTGCCACCCAGAGCGAGGTGATGAAAAGTTCTTGTAGTCAGAAAGTAAGCGACCACTTGGAAGCTTTAAAAAGCCTGAGTCTCTTAGATCTTCATATGCTGCATGAGATTTTGAATACATTCTCAGACACCACTTTATAATGAGGGGGTGCCATCTCATTTGCCGTTTTGGAACAGTCAAAGCCTTAGCCTGATCACATAACAACACACCAAAAAATTGATCACTTGAATAGCCTGTATGATCCCTCAAGTGTGTCTCCAGAAGAGCTTTCTTTCCAAACGTTTTATAGCATTTGTCCCAATGACATTTATAGATCCGGTTAATTGGTGCAATATTTTCATCTACCTGTTCTATATGAGCTCTCACGTGAAGGTATAGTTGGTCTGCTTCAACCCAACCTTTTGCATCATCCTTTGGTTCTGAGCATTCCTTCCATTTACACTTTGAAATCTGTTTGCCCCTTCTGCTTTTTAAAGCTTCATTTAGTTTTTCAAACATCGCCCTTAAGTTACAATCAGTATCTCCCCCTACCTCCACCATTTTTTCTCTGCACTTTTCAAGTTGTTTGATTTTTTCCTGTAGACTCCTCATCTCAATCGTTCTCTCTCGAAGCAACTGGAGCACCTCTTCTTTACTAAGATAGTCAAAACGTGTGAATTTGGAGTTTTCATTATTTTGAGATTGATGACTATGTGAATTAAGCCTTGACTTTAGAGTTCTTAAGTAGTGCTTACTGTGTTCACAAGCTGCACATATGTCACTTGAGTGTAAAGCCTCGTCATGAAGGAAGAAGGTAAGATGTCTCTTCCAGCTTATTATAGCTTAATAGTTTGACTTTCTCTTAGTGTTGTTATTCAAGCGCATTGATAGGGAATTGTCTCCGTCTGTAATCCGCTAAAATTATAAAAATTATGTTTTTTAGCTCTACCAGGAACAGCTGAATCGAGCAAACGAGATTTGACACCAAAGTCAAAGGAAGCCCCGCAACCTAGACAGAAACAGATTAGTTTGCTGAAAACACCGTCGAAGGAAGAAGGTAAGATGTCTCTTCCAGCTTATTATAGCTTAATAGTTTGACTTTCTCTTAGTGTTGTTATTCAAGCGCATTGATAGGGAATTGTCTCCGTCTGTAATCCGCTAAGGTAGAGCTGAATCGAGCAAACGAGATTTGACACCAAAGTCAAAGGAAGCCCCGCAACCTAGAAAGAAACACAGCAAATTGTTTGGTAATTTTCAAGTAACTTCTTTTTAATGCAGTATGAGTTATCATAATGTAAAAAGAATATTAATTTTTTTTTTCTCAACTTTTGCACGTTAAATTGTGAAAAGCAACCTGTTGGTTATATTTTATTACCACTAGACTTCTCCTGTTTATAGTTTACTTCTCCTGAATTAAATATAAAAATCGCATGAGCTCCAAGCCTCTTGCTTCGTTTGTTTTACTTACACACAATGTAGTGATGTTTTTGGTGTTTTTTTTAATAAGAATATTTTTTGCATAAACTAAGGTTGTGAACAGCAAATTTTGCATTCCCTGAAGTTGGTTCTAAAGCCTGCAGCTGAATCCCAGCTTCTCTGTCAGGAGGTGTGCAGCATGATAGAAAAGATGTGCGGCATGGAGGTCAATGTAAGAACAGTGACGTACCTACTGGAAAAAGCATTTATGGAGGCAGACCCTCCTGTAGAAAGAAAACGGATTAAAATGGCAGGAAAAGGCACAAGGAGTAATGTGTATCCTTGAATTAATCTGAGTGAGTTTTTTTTAAATTAATATTTGGCTCATACTCCCTTGCCTAGTGGTGATAACATTCCTCATTTTTTAAAGAGATCACAATTGTCCTTTGCTGAACTTTTCCTTTCTTACCAGCAATACTGTTTGATATCAAAAAAGATTGTTTGGATAAAAAATTTTGCCTTAATTTAATGTAGATATATATTTGACAATTTAATGGCCATTGACAAGGAAACAGATCAGTACCAAAACAGCAACTTACGACAAAAGAAAGCAGATTTGGAAAACTTGTTCACCACTGATACAACCAAAGAGTCTCCATTTTCTTTGTCACTTTCTCAGACTTGTCAACTGCATGAAGAAATAAAGCTTTTTGATCAATTCAGTGGCATTGATCTTGGCAAAATCGATGGCAAGGAACTTTTTACTTTGCAAAAAAGTGGACTAAATGAGTACTTTGAAACAGTGTGTGAGAAAGTTGTGAAGAAATGCCCATTGATTACAAGTATCACTAAAGCATTGGTGGAAGGAACCAACACACAGGACAACAGTGAGAGAAATGCCCTATTCAAGTTCAAGCAAGCTTTACCACTGTTAACTTTTATTACCCATATCAGGTCACAGAAGTCATTGTCAGATTTTCAAAATTTATTTGGCCTGTTGTTAATAGCCAATGGTGGAGGGAAATCTATCTTAACACTTCTGTCTTCAATAGGATTATGCAAGAGCTATGAGTGGTAGTAAGTAACTACAGTCATATACATTTCAGTGATTCAAATGGTCAAAACCCTGATCAACATTTACATGCATAGTACACACATACAATTCTGAAGCTCATTTTAAAGGGCAGTTCATTTACCAATGAAATTATACCAGCTTACAAGTTTAAAAAAACTATGGGGGTTAGTTCATTACAGCATATAATGCCACTTTTACAAATACTCACCCACGTACATTTCAATCTACATCTCAAAAGAGTCAACACTCTTTAATATTGTGTCTTTTTTAGGGATGGTCTAATTAAAAGTACGAGATTCCAGGATATGTCATATCTTTTTTTAACTATATAAAAAGACAGAAAAAACAGGACATGTGATTTGTGTTGCATTATTTCAAAAAGAGATGAATCTGCTCTTATTTGTTACTTAAAAATTCGTTTTTGGTCTTTTTTCAGTCGTAAGTGGATGGGTCATCTATTTAAGACTTACACTGATGCCATACCAGTTGCTTTTCCTTCTAACACACCCCTGATAATAGGATATGACAATATCAACATCTACAAGGGTAAAGCCCGATTTTCTAGACTGAAGAGAAAAATTCTACCAGTGATGTGGAACCTTACTGTGTGTATGGCTCGGAAGCCCAATATTGATGGCATTGAACATCTTTGGGAAAGTCCTGACACTGCTTGTAAACCTCAGAAAGATATATTGGCCCTAACTGTTGAGGACATCTTTTTAGGTATCTAGTATTAGCAAATAATGTATGGTTTTAACTTATTAACATTTCTAATCAATTTACTGCATATTTGGTAGTTATTATAACTGTAGGTAAAGTTGATGTCAAAATGAGTCATGCTTACAGTGAAACAAATACTCTCAAATTATTATTTTTTATTCTTCAGAAAAATTAAGGTTTGGGGTCTTCTATTTAATTCCTCAAAAACAGAGGGGGTAGAGCCAACTTTTTAAGCTTTCAATATAGCACAAAACAACCTGAGGACAGACTACCTGCAACTTCAATATCTTTGAATTATGGTTGTAGTCATTAATTATCACGTGACTTATCAAGGCTATTTTTAGTGCAAAATAGGACCACTTTTCATTTCTTTCTGGAAGTTGCAGTTATCATTATAGTGATGAGGCTAATAGGTATATCATTTCGGTGACCAGGCCTTTTAAGTTACCCTTTTAAAAAGGGACGAAATTCAAAAACCGTTTGATGGACAGATGTTTAGTTGTTCACCTAGGGACATTTTTGGTATTGACTTCTTTGATTGACTGCTTGAATAAACTGGTGCCATTTCTAATTTAAGTTTTTTCGTGCAAAATAGCCTTTGAAGGTCACATGACCTAATTTGCATATTCTTTTACACAGAATTAATAACCAAGTGTCAGTTAAGTTATGGTTATTCTCTTGGCTAGTTCTTTTAAGGTCATTGGCTTAGATCATTAGGGTGATGTACCCAAGCTTTTTATTCAAATCCCATTGATCCTTCCTAAATTGAGTGACCATTGAATAAAAACTTCCAGCTCTTGTAACAATGGCATGTTGCTGCCATGTCATCCTTGAAATTTATAATATAGATAACTCTGTTTCATACCTTTCTGTACATCATCACATGATGCTAATGATAATATTGGGTTATAATAATCATACTATAATTAGTGCTCTAATTCATATGATTTTGACAAGTTTTCACAATGATGATCTTGATAGGAACCCATTACCCATAGGGATATTAAAAGTATGATCTCTAAATTCCGGAGAGCGATTTTTTAACAGGCAATTCAACAGGTTGTTTATGCAGAATGCAAAAGGTTGAACTGCACAGGCTTTATATCACATGAGAGGTTCATATATTTTTAAATTTAATCTACTCTCAAACAGATTCTCATAAGGAGCTGTCCACTATCATTAAAAAAAGCCAAACACAGGTGGCTGCTAAGGTTGCTTCATTATGGCCTTAACATTGGTATCACCTTTGACGATCTGAAAAGCAGAGATGAAAAATCAATCAATACCTTACTTGAGAACTTTCAGAAGCCTTCAAAACTTTCAAACAATGTTAATGTCCCAAAGCAGGAATATGACTACCCCCAAAATGCAGGGAAAAAAGCTGAGATAATGATTTTACCTTTGTCCATTGATGATGAAACCACTACAAGTGGAACTGCATCCATCATCCAAAAGAGTTTGGTCTTCAATGTGAACGTTCAAGTAATTACATTCCAAAGGATCACACGACAGGAAAGTTCAATCTTTCAGCAGCAAGGGAAAGATTCCTTTTCTACCAAGGCTTAAAATATCACCATGAAGAAATGAAAGTTTTCAGGAAGACCCTTGAAGACAACGATAAGCATATCACAGATGAACAAGGGGAAGATTCTTCAGATAGTGTTCATGACTCTGATTCAGAAGTAGAAGTTACTGAAGGGAATGGTAAACAATTAAATTTTAAAGAATTCTGTGCAAAAGTTGAACAAACAAGGAAAAATGCAATGGCAAAACTTAAAAGTTGTACCAGTGGAAAGAATTTGCAGCAAAGTGCCATGATATTGCGGCAGCGCCAAAGTGAATGGTTGTTGTTAGAGGACCAGTTTAAACGCACATGTCTACACCTGGCAGTTGAAAAAAATGATCTCCAACTAGCAGAGAGCCTTTTAGTTTCTGGTGCAGAAATTAACAAACCAGAGGGATGTGGTGTAACACCAGTTATGACTGCAATCATTAAAGAGCAGTTTCAAATGGTACAGTTGCTATTGAAATACAATGCTAAAACACAATGTACATTTACAGGTCTAATTCCACTGCCATCAGAACTGGTTGAATCGATTGATAACCCTGCCATTAAAGCAACAATTTTGCAACACATCAACGAAGAAGTGAATGAGGCGGTGGCTGTTTTTGCAGAATATCTTGATGGAAAAGGGGAAGTAGCACTTAGCAAGACTGGTGTGGCACCAGAAAATAGACCGCAAAGTGAAAAAAGTGACGAGGTGATTAGTGTAAGAAAGAAAGTGATCACTTTTGGTGACCAAAAAACCTGCAGTAATGTGCGATCTGTCAGGAATAGAGCACCTGATGAATTTTCAACTTTCATGGAAAAGCCAGGTGATTTTCACACGGAGGGCTACTTAGCTCAATGTTGTGGTAAAATCCTTGGCCCTGGTGGATTCTATTATGTGATGAGACAGTTGCTAGGTAGACATCAGGTAACATCAAAAAGTTTCCAAAAAATATTTAAAGAAGGAAATTTGGAACGCAACATTGATGCATTGAAAGATTTTACATGGGGTATGGCCATTGCTGTGGTAAAAGAATTTGAAACATCTGTCTATTTTCCAAGCAAAGATCGGTTGCACCATGGTGAGGGTGACACAGATCTATTATGCAGAAGGTTCCAAGGATGGCTCGACGAGAGTTCCAGCAGGGATGCAGTTTTTTCATACCACAAACAAAATCTATTAGATCATCTATTCCTTTTAGACTTTTTCCACACTAGTGTTAGGTGTGGTAATGGAAAAGCCCTGGAAGCTTGTTACTTTCTTTTGGCTCCGATTTTTTTTTCAATGAACAAGAAGAACTACAAAGATGAAGCATTTGTGCACATTGTGAGCATTATGTGTACATGGCCCCTTGCATTGAGGGAAACCCTACGGAGAAACAGAACAATTTCATTGTCAGGTCGTCCAGGCCATGATTTGGCAGATGACGAATTCATAGAGGAGAGACTGGTAAGAAGAACAAAGATGTATGCAAAAAAACAAGCAACAGTCCAGGGATTAGAGAGAATAAGTCTTATTCTTGACTTCTGTGCAGAGCTTGAGGCAGCTTTCAAAGCTGCCTATGATGTGAGATCGCCCAAAAAAACACATGTACCAGATTCAACAAGTGAGCATGCTAAAGTTGCCTGGTTTGCTGTACAAGAACAGTGGTTTTGTGATAAAGGGAGAGTGGAAGGTCCCACCTACCCAAGTAACAAGAAGGAGTTGCCATCAGTGAAACAGAAGTTACGCAAAGACTGCCAGAATGCACAGTTGCGGGGAGAAGAGCTGTTCAAAAAACATTTTAAGGAGATGAAATGCAGACTTTTCCCTACTACAGCCTTACACTATGTAACTGATAATTGAAGTTTCACTCACATGAACTACATGTATTCCTAGGTAAAAACAATGCTAAAGGCATAGAGTATAGAAAGTGAGAGAAAATACTCAGGCATGTTGGTTATTATATTTAACAGACAAAGCTTAGTGGACCAATTACCTCCACCACACATAAAGTGATACAGGTCAAAATTATAATTATTCAGGTAAAAATATTTTCACCTAGGTTGATTCTTTGTCTCATAGCCTTACACTGTAATTTGAATTTTATTTTGGCCTGTAACTGATGACAAATTAGCCTTAAACTCTAGCTGTGACCATTTAATTCCAGACAATAACCAATTGGAGGTGTTGGGGTGTCAATGGTCAACAGTAATTTAAGGATCAGCAGTTGAGACAGTAATGCAGGCACCAACCTGTAAGCCTTACAAGGAANCATGAACTACATGTATTCCTAGGTAAAAACAATGCTAAAGGCATAGAGTATAGAAAGTGAGAGAAAATACTCAGGCATGTTGGTTATTATATTTAACAGACAAAGCTTAGTGGACCAATTACCTCCACCACACATAAAGTGATACAGGTCAAAATTATAATTATTCAGGTAAAAATATTTTCACCTAGGTTGATTCTTTGTCTCATAGCCTTACACTGTAATTTGAATTTTATTTTGGCCTGTAACTGATGACAAATTAGCCTTAAACTCTAGCTGTGACCATTTAATTCCAGACAATAACCAATTGGAGGTGTTGGGGTGTCAATGGTCAACAGTAATTTAAGGATCAGCAGTTGAGACAGTAATGCAGGCACCAACCTGTAAGCCTTACAAGGAACGGTACATTAACTTGGTCTGTCCACTAACATACTGTAAGTACTGGCTTCCAAGTTTCAGCTGCAAGTAGGAACAATTGTTCACTCCATGTGCAGGTGGCACCTCTCTTAGTATGTCCTTTGTTACAGTGTGTCGCAAGAAAAGTTCACATGCATTAACAGTACACTTGAAAATTGCAAAAATTGAAGAGTGTTCATCTCTATTTTCTCTAATTTTCTTATTCATTTTTCCAGATGCAACTTGAGCCAGGTACTTAATAGTGATGGGCCTTTCCACAACCTGAAGAAACTCAATTATTCTGGTGATTTGTGGTGTGTAGTCGTTAGTAAGAGGTGTATTTGCCACAGAATCTTTGCAAATATCACAATCATCACATAGAGCCAAACCAGCTTCTTCTGGGTTGAAATATGTTATTAATTTTTTCCGTCTACATTCCTTAGACATCACAAAATCTAAGACCCTTTGAAACCGTAAAAGAGAGGAAGTTTGCCTTTGTGAATCAAAATTGTGCTGATCAAAAATGTTTCTTACGTGGAAAACTCTGTCTCCAAATGAAAAATACAAATAGCATTTGGCAGGAAGGCCATCACGGCCAGCACGACCCCAGGCCTGGAAAAGGTCCTCCATGCATGAAGGGAGGGAGTGAAACATTACCACTCTCACATTCGGTTTGTTTATACCCATGCCAAAAGCAGTGGTACAACATAGTACCTTAATCTCTCCTTTGGTCCATTTTTTCTGAAGGCTCTCTTTTAAAGCCTTACTAAGCTCCGCATGATATGGCTGGCTTGAAATCCCCTTGCTTTCAATCAGAGCATTTACTTCCTCGCATTCCCTCTTTGTAGAACAATAGATGAGGGCACTTTCGGTGGAAGAGATCACCTGAATGATATTCTTTTCAGTGTCTTTCCGTTTCTCTTCCACCTCATAGGAAAGATTAGGCCTATTGAAGCTACCCTGGATGATATTTAAATTTTGTAGTCTAATTTTTTATTTGATGTCAGCAATAGCATCTTGCGTTGCTGTTGCAGACAATAAAATAGTGGGTGCTTTTGGTACAAGAATCTTACTCATTTCTGCAACAGCTAAATAGTCAGGCCTGAAACCATTGCCCCACTGGCTGATGCAATGTGCTTCATCATAAATCAGATAAGAAATCAAATCTTTTTCACCCATTGTCTTCACGATTTCTTTAAACACAACATCCCGATTCAGTGTTTCAGGGGTGGTGTAAATAAGTTTTAACTCTGGATCCCCAGACCAAAGTTTGTAAAGAATTTGCTGCCTTCGTGTACTGTCCGTCTCTCCTGTAAAGGATACAGCTTCAACTCCCCTAGACCTTAAGTCAGTTATTTGATCATTAATTAGTGCAATTAATGGGGATACAACAACGGCTGGTTTGTGGTTACAGACTGCTGGCAACTGAAAAACAAGTGACTTGCCTCCACCTGTGGGCATAATCACCATTGTATCATTTCCATGTAAAATAGAATCAATGGCTTTCTGTTGAAGTGGCTTAAGACTTGAATAACTCCACACAGTTTTCAGTGTATCAAGCAGGTCAATTGAACTTGTCACAGTTCCAGAAGGAAGGATTGGGATAGAGATACGAGCCAGTGGAGTGGTGCATGCTGAAACATTTGACACATTCTCTCTTTCATGTATATCAGTTACAAATGTAGAAAAGTTTTCATCAACATTACTTGCCCTGACTAAACTAATACATTCCAACTCTGGTTCCATCTGGTCATTGACATTTCTGTACCAGGTCTTAAACTTCAGGCATTGCCTGGGCCCTTTTACAAAGATGAATTCATGCTTGCCTTGAAATGGACACAATTTCCCAGAGACAAGAAGCAAACATGCAAACTTGAGAGCAACATTTCTCTCTGAAATGGCTTTTACACTGTAGCATCCTAGAGAGCAAGACACCTCGAACACCTCCCCTTCAACCTATCAAACAAAATAGTAAATAATGTATTGTATGAGAATCTTTTGTCAAAAACTTCCCATCAGGTATATTAAATCCCTGGAAATCTTTTCTTCAAAAACTTCAATTGAAAGCTTAAGATTGTAATTTTCTTGTCGTGATGGTTTCAGGAAATTTCAATACCCACCCTAAGGACAGTATAAAAATAGACTGGAAATACCAGGGTAGAGGTTCAACAAAAAAGAATGTGAAACTGTGGACTGATATTTAACAAGTCCTGTGCTACATGTTCAACATAAAATAATATTGCAGTGGTGGGGGGTCTTTGGGCTGCCGATTGTGGGAATTATAGATAACAACTGCACTTTTTGAAGGCTTGAGAGTATAGAAACTACTAACCCACAGAATGGGATAGAGATATATAGGGTACGCCTTTTGAAACAAGAAACGATTGATCTTTAACCAGGATATTTCCTCAACACACCCCAATATTTATTATTAGTAAAATCCAACTAGTGGTCTATTATCGATGCTGCATTCTCATTGGTTGAGCTACTACTAGGCTATAATTATGTTATAGTCCACTAGTGGCGTAAAGCGCGGGCTTTTTGGCGGCAAAAAAAGGATGAAAGTCTAGTTTTAACTAGCTAAATTTTTTTTAATTCTCAATATTTTTTACCAACTAGTTGGATTTTACTAAAACAATTATTTTATTATAACATTTTACTACCTCTCAAAGCAAGATACATACCAATTTGGAGGTGTTGGCAAAAATCTTTTCAAGCAAGAGCTGGCCTAACTTGATCTTCTTCAATTCCTCTATAGTTTTTATGTCAGTAGTTGAAGAGTCATGACATTTCAGGTGCTGCTGGACATTCCTAAACCACCCAGAACAGAGGGGGCATGGGTACTCAAGAATGGTGTCTTTTGGTCCTGAAGTTACATGTATTCAAATGAACATGAATTAAAACAATGCCATTTTTATTTTTGACTTAAAAGCAAACCTGACATCAAGCGTCACATTACCTAGAGATAGTTCCATAGCGGTCCGGGAAACAAGTGGAACAAAGTGATTTGGGATAAAGTTGCTGGTCACTGTATTCCCCATCTTGCTCCACAAGAAGTGAAGAGGACTCAATGAATTAGACATTTCACGTGGCTGTATGAAATAAGTTAATGTTTTTTTGAGGGTGGAAGGCACTTTATCAGGAAATACACTTTGTATGGGTCTTTTAGCAACTGAAGTTATTCCATGCCATTGCCACAGACAAGCCCAAGAATTTTCTTTGCACATGTTTAAAACTTCTGCCTCAAAGATTTCTTTTATCTGACAAGGGTCTTCGATTTTTTCTGTAGATAGCAAATGCAAATAAACTTTACAGAAGTGAATGTATTTAACAAATTATTTTTAAGATGTGAAATTGCTAGGTGGATTCAACACAATACTTTTGTGATAAACATGACATAAGTTTATCAACCTAGGTCCAGAAAAAATGAAATAACCATTTAATTTAGGATTAATTTTTTGACGTGAATATAATTTTGAGCTGTGATTGTAAATATAAAATGTAAACAGTAAGTTAAACCTGTCATTCAAGCTTAAAAATATCTTTTTACCCGCGCTGTTTGTCAATTGACTTTGTATTCTAACCATAATTATTAATTATAAGAGTAAGGAGAAAAAGGGAAATGAAAATTCACTTCGACACAATACAATTATTTTTTTCACCTGGTATTAAAATTTAACTGCAGCAAAGAGATCATGACTAGAAAGGCATTAAATCTGTCCACAAGTGTTTTATTTAGCAATGTAGATTCTTACAGTACATTCATATCATAATCTACATAGGGCGAAAGTAATTTTCTTACAGTGCGAAATAAATATCGGATTCTAACCTGGAACAGCTTTGCCATTCAAAATCGCCATCTCTGCTTCCATCCTACTTATTACTTCGCTATCAGCTAAGTAATAAAAGCTATATTTTGCAAGCTCAGCAATTGTTCTGACCCGCAGTTCTAGGTGATATTGTTCTGTTCCAAATAACAGCAACGAAGCGGCTCTGAAGCAACAGTTACCATCTCCAACAGTTTTAACAGCAACAAACTCCGATACATGTTCAGTTGGAATGAGGTTACACGAGGAGAAATCAATCGTCAAAGGACTATACATGATATGCTGTTGGCTTTTCAAAGTCGGCAAAATTCGATATACTATGTCGCAAGCATCGACAAGGGTTTTAAAACCATAACTACCTGCTGTTTGCAGCATCTTAAACAGCTCCACAAAGTCCGCCATTTTGAAGAAAGCAACGCACGCATGCGCATTCTGTTTTTGTCTAGGCGTTCCCCGCCCGTTCGTCTCGGATACGTCACTGAAACGAATTGACCGAGAGGGACTGGGAAAACGCCGTACAGGGACTAGGCAAGGCTTGCATATGCATGAACCCCAGTGGAGTGGGGTTCGGAGAATGACACATTTTGACCGTTACGAAGTCGAAGTATTACGATTACGATTACGAAAGTCGATTACGAAGTCGTCAAGTCATCATCACAGTACCAGGATACACGGGAGGTAAGTATTCAAGCAAATGTATTTTTGACATGGCCAAAATGAAGTTCATAAAAAGTCAAATAAACACTTAAGTCTAAGCTTAAAGACTTAAGCCTGGTTTCCATATGATCGCTACGATCCCTACGATCGCTGCGATTGCTGCGATCGCTTAGAGTTCAAAAAAAAGTTCAGCGATCGCAGCGAGAGATAGAACAGTTCTCTATCTCAGCGATCGTTGTCGCTGTGGTTTCCAGCGATTATATCAGGGGCACCCAACGTCAATTTTTGGAAAATATCTGTTCGGAAGACGATTTGAGATCTAGAATTTTCGGAACATTTGTTGTAAATTTTTTTGCTCGCCTGCCTCTCCTAGGATTTTCGAACATCTGAAAAATGGTATAATTGTCCATGTTTATTAAACGGATTTTAAAAAGGTCACCTAGAATTTTCGGGAGCCTTTTTTCTGGCTGAAATTTTCCAAAAGGTAAGTTTTGACCCCTATAATTTTCAGATCACTAGACTTTTTAGGGGATAAAAATATGCCTAGATCTAACGTTTAAATACTAAAATACGTTCAACAAGCTATGTTTGAGTGGTTTTGAACTGTATTCTCGTTGAGTGCCCCTGATTATACATTTATAGATATATATATTATATTATAAATACTTGTATTCTGGGTTATATATATTTTCTAAATGTGTAAATGTGATCCGAGTACAGTGTAGAGATCGGTACATAGATGAAAGTATTTTCAGAACTATTTACATAATAGTGAGAGCGTCGTATGTTAATGTCACTGCGCATTACGGAACGATATGAGAACTATTCACACAATAGTGAGAGCTTATGTTTGTCGATTTTTTACCACAACACAGAAAAAAGTATATTCAATAAAGTACTACGTAGCCTACGTGTTTGTTAGCGCGCTCGATGTAAAGTGGTTTTAGATTGAACATTATCCCCGGCGAGAGAAATTTAGAAAAATTTACTTGACTTTTCATATTTGGAACGAACTGACTTTTTTGTGGAACGATCTGACTATTTTGTGGAAAGATCTGACTATTGAGTGGAACGATCTGACTTCGAACGATCTGACCATGGAACGAAATGACCATAAATCCTGCGATCGCTGAACTTTTTTTTTCTCAGCGATCGCAGCGATCACAGCGATCATGTGGAAACCAGGCTTTACGTTTATTCTGAACGTATTCCATTTATCATTGCATGCCAACTTCGGTGATTTTTTTAATACAAACAGTTTCAAAATTTTAAGCAACAGCTTCAAGAATGGGTTATGCAGTCACACAAATTAAACGGAACTGGAGCTAAACTATTATCGCGGGTGCAAATTTTCCCTGTCAATGGAAGCGAAGATCAAGGGGTTGTAATGAGACCTTCAAATCCGTATCAAGAAATGGGCTATTGTACCGGATCCAATTAACCAAAACAAAAGCCCTTTGTCCTAGGTGATGCTGCCGAAAAAAGACTGAACAGTCTGTGCATGATCGTTTAATCTTCGGCGTGTCAAATTTGTAATACTAGGGGGAAGGAGAGAGGTTTTTATTGCCTTGACTGAGCGCTCTGAACAAAAAATATGATTTCAGAAACACTTTACAGAGAACGTTCTTAAACCGTTATTTAAAAAAGCTTATTATTTGCGCGTCCTACATTCAAAGGTGCGATCTTTGAATGTAATCCATACCTTTTTCAAAGATTAAACGACTTTCGTTCTTATTCTAAACTAGCTAAACCAAACTATCATATGTCGAGATCTTGATCCTGGTTTTTTCGATTTGTCAAATTTACTGAGAATATAGGACTGCCGGCCATTTAGTGTTTTGAAAATCTTGACCAAGAGTCGACCTGAAAAAAGTTTTAAGTGTCACAAAACATGGTGTCGTTTTCTGAGCCCAGCCTAAACCAAACGCAAAACTTGACAGGTCCGTAGCCAGGATTTTTTACTGGGAGGTGCGATTCAAGAGACTGCATTTCGAGCGTTTTGAAAAACTGGTTATTTCTCAAAGTAATTTTTTTTTGTAATTCTTTCCCAAGTCGCGCGCGTCTTATTTTCGCTTTGTTCGTTTTAATACGTCCCCGCTATACTATCATTCGCGTCATGGCGAACGGCCACGGCTTCTCTTGCTGCTTCTTTAAGCTTATTTTACTCGTGCTGCTTATCAGAAGCACGAAGAAATTACCTTCAGACGATGAATCAACTAACACAGCCTTGCCTGAGTCAGAATTTACATCATATCGACACTTCAGTGAAGCTGTACAGACCCGTGTTACTTTCGAGCTTACAACCCGCTGGCGCCATGTTGGAAGTTTAAGCAAGGTGGTAGGCTATTATGGAGCACGAATCAGCCGGTACGCGAACTCAGATTCTACTTTCCAACTAATACGCGTGGTAATAAGCGGAGACGTTAGCGAGAATCCTGGACCAACCGTCAATAAACCAAAGTGCCAACAGTGCTTTAGGACCATTGCTCGAAACCATCGTATCATCATCTGTAGTTCGTGTGATTCAACATATCACACCAAATGCGGTGGTGTCACACCAAAGCAACACAAGACCATAACAACAAGCGACCAAACCTGGAACTGCTTACATTGTGCACAATTAACTGCGACTTTAAGCAACGACGCATTGACCGAATTACCATTCAGTCATACTACCGACGAATCGTTTTCCTCGCTGTTTGGCGGCAACCATGAGGACTCAATCGGAAATTTGACTGCTGACTTGGCTACTAACGCAGATGATTTGTATAATATGGCAAACGAGCTTAATGCCGCCCCAAAAGATATTCGTGTTGGTCATCTGAATATCTGTAGCTTGCGTAATAAAATTGATGAACTTAGACTGATACAAAACATATGCCGCTTCGACATCCTAGGGATCACTGAAACACACTTAAACTCAACAGATGCTGACCATGATATTCACATCGACGGCCTCGAGTTTTTACGCCTTGATAGAAAGGAACGTAAAGGCGGCGGATGTGTACTATATTATGCCAATTACCTAAATGTTACCCATCGAAAGGATCTGGCTAAAAAGGACTTAGAGGCTATCTGGATTCAGGCCAAATTTCCAAGCACTAATGTATTGTTTTCAGTAATTTACAGATCTGAACTTTACTCGCCAAATTTCTTCACTAATTTACAGGACGTGATGGAAAAAGCTTGGATGAAAACAGATAATATTGTTCTACTTGGAGACTTGAATTGTAACTTGCTTCGAGTAAACGAATGTTCTTCCTTCTCTGACTTACAAACCAAAACAAGAAATTTACTGCATATTTTTGATGTGTTTAATATGCAAAATGTGATAAAGGAAGCAACACGCATCACACCTTCGACAGAGACCTTGATTGACGTGATTGCCACAAATAAGCCGGAATTGGTTAGGACAACTGGAGTATTGCCACTGGGCATCACAGATCACAGCCTAGTATATGCAACCCTCAGGTTAAAACGAAAAAGACCGCCACCCACAGTCATTACAGTCAGGAACTTCAAACAATTTAATACAGAGAATTTCAAAGCAGACATGGAACAAACACCCTTCTACATTGCATCAGTGTTTAACGATATGGATGACATCCTCTGGGCGTGAAATCAATTGTTCAGGGGCGTTTGCGATTCACACGCTCCACTGAAAGAAATTAAAGTGCGAAGTGTATCATCACCGTGGATCAATAACACTATCAGGTTGAAAATGAATCGCCGATTTAAGTTATTCAAGAGAGCAGTTGAAACTAAGGATCAAAATACATGGGCCGACTATAAGAGGTTGAGAAACGAAATGACATCTGACCTTAGGAAAGCGAAGGCTGCATACTTCAGAGATCAGCTGAAAAAGGCGAAGACCACCTCGGCGTATTGGAATGTAATATCCAAAGCTACCAACCCCAAAGTAAGGAAGAAGATAGGCCCATTAAAGCGTGACGACAACAGCTTAGCGGTAAAAGACACGGAGAAAGCGAGCCTTATGAACTGTTTCTTCTCTACGATAGCTGAGAAATTAAATGCTGGGCAACTCCAAGCACCACAACCCTTGACTAGTCCATGCTCTAAACCTGTACCATGTATATCCGATATTAATCTATCTAGCCTTGATATTGACAGGAAAATAACATTATTGAAGAATAATAAAGCCACTGGACCGGATGGTATATCACCCAAATTATTGAAACTCGCAGGTACTGCTGTTGTTGGCCCGCTGACCAGCCTTTTCATGTAAAGCATACGCGAATGTAGAGTCTACAATAATTGGAAAGTGGCCAGACTAACACCTGTATTCAAAAAAGGTGATCCTACGGTAATGAGTAATTATCGTCCCCTCTCCTTGCTAAGTGTACCCAGCAAGATTTTAGAATCATGTGTAGCGGACATGATTGCGAAACATGTTTTCTTGGAAAACGAAGCGCTCGTCACTGACAACCAATGGGCCTACCGAAAAGGAAGATCGACAGAGCTATTACTCATCCACCTGACTGAAACTTGGCGACGAGCAATCGATAACAAATTAGTTGTGGGCGCCGTATTCATAGACTTCCAGAAGGCGTTTGATTGCGTTTCTCACTCAATTCTTCTTCACAAGCTAGAGCACAACTTTGGAATCACAGGAAACTTACTGGTATGGCTAAGAGATTATCTATCTGATCGGGAACAGTATACTGTAAATTAATGGCGCACACTGAGAATACCAAAGT